TTGATGGAATTAGAAAAAGGCTATTTCGAAAGTTTAACTTACTATTTATTACTAAGTTGGCAGTAGATTATGATTGATCTTTTCTTTCCAACATCATCAGGTTCCAGGTAAAGAAGAAGCAGTTTTTTCGTAACTTCATGACTATCATGACGTTTGGTGCTGTTGGCACTCTTATATCCTTTGCCATCATATCCTTAGGTAAATCTCAACCTGAGGATTTTAGCTTTTATAGCTTAGGTTTGTGCTGTAAAGGTTTAAAGATGCGAGGCACTTTAGGTGTGCCAGGATATAAAAAATTGTTGGAAACAATAAATCATTTAAAGTTTGACTTGGTTGTGAACAAGCTTCGTTATTTCCAGTTTCGAAGTTCTTATATGTGTCAGCACTTTTAGTTGGGTGAAATCTCTATTGATGCCACTGTAGTGTAAACATGATATGGTACAAGTGTTCACTAATTATCAGAATCTCTTTTTTGTTAAGTGTTCCAATCATTCAGAATCGTTGGGAACTTCATTTTTAGTTTTTTTTTTTTAAAATAAAAATAAAATAAAAAAATCTTTGTCAAACACTTGAATGATAACTGATTTTATGGAATCTATTAAATTCACCAGAAATACACAAAACTTGCTGCATGTGCAAATTTATTCTTTTGTGAGGGTCATAAAGTGACTAAAGACATTTTATGATTCAACTGAAAATCTGGAAAAAGGAAAATAATCTGAATCAATCATCAATTTTTTTACAGAACGAAGTTATTAAAATTCACAACTTTGGTTACTTAAAACAGGTAAGTGGATGTCTAGTGCTTGTTCTTTTCTGCACCACATCTATTTGGAAACAGTAACTGTGTGTGCAACAATGCGTGTGACTCCATTAGCAGACATCTTTATCAAACAGCTATTTGTGTGGGTGCATGAAGAGGTTTACATAGTGTGATTTATATTCTTAGATGCTATAGCTTAAAAAGAAATGAGTTTCCTTGCGTTTCCAATGTTCTAAAGGTGAAGATTTACAATTTTACATTTACTTTAGCTTCATTTGCGATAAGAGTTATTTTGGGTCAGTTTGTTTCTGCTTGTCATGTATTCTGTTGTTGATACTCTTTGACTTCGATTGACCAGTGGAGAATTTTAATCACAGGCTTTCCGTGTTAATGAATTCTTTTTTATTTTGATCCAGGTGCTATGCACTTTTTCCACAAGTTCAATATTGGTTCCCTCAAGATTGGAGATTATCTTGGTATACCCAATTTTTCTTTATGATCGATTTTTGTTTTGTTTTGATTCCATTACTTCCTGCTTAATTGTGTTAGTTCCTTGGTTGCAGCCCTTGGTGCGATATTTTCTGCAACCGATTCTGTTTGCACCTTGCAGGTATGCATTGTCTTGACTCTTCTGAAGCTGTGCTCTTGTTGCAGCTTTAAGAAAGACACCTGAATTAAATCCAAACTCTCAATGCAGGTGCTTAATCAGGATGAGACACCTTTGTTATACAGCCTGGTTTTTGGGGAAGGGGTGGTTAATGATGCCACATCAGTGGTGCTTTTCAATGCAATCCAGAGCTTTGACCTCTCTCACATCAATACAAGCACTGCTTTGCAATTTATAGGAAACTTCTTGAGGGTGGTTTTTTTTTTAAATTCCCCCCCCCCCCCCCCCCCCCCCCCCCCCCCCCCCCTTTTTCCCAAAAAAAAAGAAGAAAATGCACACACATTTGTGCCTCTGATATGACCCGTCCTTTTATTTTTTCTTGCAGGCTGGACTACTTAGCGCATATATCATTAAGAAGCTCTATTTTGGCAGGTTTGTAAGAAATAGTATCTTGCTGGTATTTTGCTTGTGATACCATGAATATGATTGAGTGAAGGCAATAAGAAAGTAACCAATTAATTTTCAGTCAGTAGGAGCAAAATTAATGAATTGCTGATTTTCCATCAAATCACCTATTGTACCACTACATAAATGGCTATAAGATACCCAAGCAAAGACACATTAAATTACTTTTTTATTAAAAAATACAAATAAAATGCCATACTTTTATGCTTCTGGTTGGAATCTTAAAAGAATGGAAGTGCATGAATATTGGATAAAACTTAAAAGTATTGCCTGCCTGCAAGAGAACTGTTCCTTTTCCCTCTCCCCCTTTGCACATGATTTTTTTTTTTTTTTTTATAGGGTTTTTAATTTCTTAATTT